GACCCTCATCTACAAAGCTGTGCTCAGCACAGCACTCACCCATCAGAGAGAATCACTGTATCTCCTACTCAAACACCAGAAGAAGCCTTAAGTGTTCTGTGTTTATTTACTTCTTCCTCTGGCAATATATACCCTGACTTTGTCTAAAAATAAAGTAAAGTTTGTCAGGCAGCCTAGCTCTGAGCCTCACAGGTTTTAAGTTAGACCTGAAAATTCTGTGATTCTCAGGAATGTGTTAAGATAGCATCTTTAAAACAAAATAAAGCTGAAAGAACAACATATGATGCTAATTATTTGGAAAATAACATTATACAATGACCTCCCTTCTCCATCCTTTCATGCCTTAAAATCAATCTTGGTTTGCTGACAGTAAGTGCAATGCAGCTGAATGTAGGCCCATCTGGGCTCAATCATGTACCTAGCATCCAAAACTGTCTTGGATGTTTGTCARCTGCATGGATAGTACTGTGAAACCAGAAATGAGTAATCTTATGCTAGAGATACATCTCCAGAAGAAGTACAAACTCAAGCTACACAAACAATTTTAAAAGGACAATGCTGTCATGTGTTGCCTTGCACTGATTATTTAGTGACCTGAGCCTCAAAAACTGGCACCAGTTGCTGAGTCAAAGTCACAGACTATTACTATCCTACCCTTCTGCAGCAATGGAAGAGGGRATATCAGACAGATTACCACAGACAGAGCCTTCTTAATCTGAAATCCAGATTGCTTTTGCAGTGAGATGACACTGTTAGTGTCATCTGCAGAGTCAGMAGATGCCAGTAGTATCTGCAACCTGGAAAGTACTTAGGGAAAGTTGGATCTTCACATAATAAATATTAATAAAAAAAGACACATTATTTTTGGAGCAGCAAGTGCTCTTCCATCTCAAAACGTACTGCTCTTCCCCACTTTGTGCAAAGACGATGTTGCTGCAGTTGGCTTCTTTCAAAGGAAACAATACAGCAAATAACTCATCAGGATCCAGCTGATAGCTCTGGATGAATGCATGCCTGCCTCATTCCAGCAATATGCTCCATGCAACCTTCTGATGAGAGCTCATGTATAAAAGTTAAAAGCTCCATCTTCCCTCTGACATGACACATTTATTAATTAGACATAAATATGATGTTTCTGATGCATCATTGGCAGGTAGGAACTGATGTCAGCTGTTATCAGCTTCYTACAGTGCTATGCCTCCCTCATCTGAAATCACTCTGCCACTGGGCTGCAGGACTGCTGAACAGGATTCCTCCTCAAAAAGGTTTTCTCAAGCACTTACTTGAGACAAACCTWAAAAGGTACAGAGCACCTGAAAAACCTCCAGGGATTTCCAAAGCAGTGTCAGACCTCAGGCTTGTGGAGCCTTTCTTCTCTTTAAAACAAATCAAACGGAGAAAAAAATAAAAAGAAGAAGAAAATAAACAACTGTCAGTACACTGTGGACCCTATAATTGGCTTAACCAGTATATTTCTGCTTCCCCTGAGGTGCATCATAATGTGTATTTAATGAAATCCTCCTTTTCCCTATATGCCTAGCTGTTTCATATACTATAAATTATGGATGAGCTTCTGTTTATATATGCAATCTTTATGCTGTAAAATAAAGACCACTAATACAGCACTTAAAACACACCAGGGTGCCTTCACTCCATCAGTGTTTAAATGGGGTACAATATGCCAAACTGATCCTTTGCTCTCTGGCTGAAGAATTGGACTGAGAGAGCAGAAAAGCACTGACCCATTGCTCTGCACTCCTCCTCTCCCAACGCCATGCAGCCTTTGCCTATTGGTAATGAGAAACAGATGGTGCCATCCATCTCTTTTTATGAGATGGGGAAATAAAACATTCAGCTCTGTTTCACTATTTTTAGCCCGGGCAAGCGATCTCAAAGAAATCTAAGAGGGGAAAAAAAGGAAAAGACAATGTCTGTAGCTATTAGCACACCACACTACTGCAGATAACCAATCGATACTTTTGTTTGGAGGAGAGAAGTGGGGAAGGTTAACTTATTCAATTACTGTTTCAAAGCAAGTAGTTTTGGATGAGCAAGGGAAATAGTGGAGGACTTCCAGAACCTATTGGAAGTTTCTGGCTGATATGGATGAGCTTCACACAAATAGCTGTGATTAAAAGAAAAACTGMTTGGCAGGTGTAACCACAAGGTGATATCTGGGATTATTACAGCACCCCCTGACACTGTAAGCAAGTGACTTTGGTAATAAAATGCAATGCAATAATAAACGTGGGTTTCTAAAGGCCARTGTTAGAGGAWGCACTTGCCCTATATTATACATTAYTAGCTTCATTGYGCTARCAAGTGCACACRTATTATCWTCTGCRCAGARGACAAAAATATTTGCTGTAAGATAAATTTCCAGTTTTAAATTATGAAATTCTGATTGCCTTAAAATTTGCTATCCTTACCTCCCCTTCCCTTGCATATCCATCTTTCTGTTAATCATGTTTCTTCTTGCCTTCCATTTAATCTAACCTGCCTCTGCTCATTTGTTAGCCTGATACCAAAGAAATACTTTGAACAGAACAGGGGAAGTACTACTTAAATAATCTTTATTGGGAAATAGGTTCWGACACATAACTCTGACACAGTAATAGTCTCCTTGGATAGCTTTGATAGAAAAAAATGAAAACTTGTTTTACCTTCCCTTGGGATTGTTATGGCCACAGTGTCTGTCTACAAAAACCTTAGTTACATCAGGAACACTTGTGCTGATAAATCTGTTGCAGCAGACCCCTTGTTAGCTGTGGAGTGTACTAATATTAAAAGGGATTTACCATTACAGGCAGATCTCTGCCCAAACTAAGCAATCACACAGCTTGGCGTTAGGATGTATATTCACAAATCAAGAATTTGGGTTTTTTTTGTCAACCTAATGTCATCAGTTAGGAACCAAGAAAACTTACTGTGGTGGAATCCCGGAAAGATTTGCTGTTACAGATTTGGACTCAAGAGCTCCTGGGAGGCAGTAAGGAGCTTTGCCTGGAATGGGCATAGGGCCTCTCTGCCAGCTTCTGTAGAAGCCGGGTTTTGTTAAGGAAAGAAAAGAAATAACCGCAATTTTTGTGGCAGAAAAGATAACTTTCTCACATGATATACAGGAGAGAAAATGATGTGGTTTAATCCTGCAGATCTACTGACAGAGGCACGCTTCCCATTTGTAGATGAATGAAAACAAAGTGGAATGGAAAGCAAGCTCAGGAAAAGGAATTTGAGTTGTTTCAGCACTATTGAGGAGAATCAAGCAGGCTGTAAGTGCTCTGTRTTTGCTCTGCACAAATTGCCTTTCAGTAGACTTTCCAGGAGGCCCAGGTTCTGTGACTTTAATTCTGCTAACATATCGTTTAATTTGCCTAACATATTTTAGGGATGAGAACAACTGGAGCTACATATTCTTTACAAGGGTGTCTGGTCATACTGACAAAATTCTATTCAAAGCAAAGCAGAAATAAACTGCACACTTCAAGGGAGAAAAGAAAATGATAACACAACCCTAGCAAAGCAAAAGGCAGAAACTAAATTTATGGGAGAGATGAAACAACTCACAGCAGATGGCAAAATTCATTCGTTCCTTAAGGCACTGTGCGAAGACAGTCAGAACAAATGTGACAAATGTGKCAAAAGACCCTGTGCAAAGGTAGAGAGTCCTCATAAAATACTGTACACATCTGGATCTCTAGTMCTGACTGATGGCTACAGATATTTTGAAGCTGTCTGCATTTTAGTGTGAMATTTCTGCTACTCCAGTGTTTTTCCACCAAGTCTACTATTACTCAAAYCAATGAGCCTCCCTCTGGCAAAAAAATCAGGACTAAATTGTTGCTTCAGAAGAGAATTTCAAAACGTGTCGAGCTCAAGCTTAACTCTCCAAATGCAGAACAGGCTTCTGACAATGACTGAGGATTTGAACAGCATATCCCTTTGAGTCCTGTCCTTAAACTCAGGAAAGAAAACTCATTTGAGTCAGACACAAAAATAACTCTCTCTCTCCTGGGTTTTACATTCCATAAGCAACTTGCCTACAGAGCAAAGCACTTAATCATGCTCAGCCTGACTTGTGATCACCTGTTAACAGCAGCATGTTCCAGGCARTACCCCTTCATTTTGCAGATAGGTKGGGGACTAGGATGAGAGCCTGTATCTCAGCAATTCTGGCCCACAGTCAATATTCTGGCATGAAYCTGTTCTCACTGGGGTGTAAGTGAGCAAACTTAGCTGGGAACTAGGACATAGCCCACGTTCAGTTCTGRTGGCTCTGCTCAGTGGGGGAGAGATGCTTACTGGCACGGGGAGGACACTTGGGAGCAGCAGCTTGAACCACAGTGTCAGAACGCACTGCAACCAACTCATCTGTCACTGWCTTTCCTCTCTGATTGTCCAAGTACTTGGCCAAGCCTACAGCTTATTTTCCTTTCTTTTTACTTGCTGTTCTTTTAAAACTGTTACTAATGCAGCTTGTCAGATTTTATTCAAAATTATAGCGGGAGCTAAGGACATTGTGCTGAGAAATAAGTGGAAGGACGAAACACTCTTTAGTGCAAGACATAAATGGTACTCCACAGCTGGGTTTTCTTTATTTGTTGCTGGTGGTGGCTGTTTTCTGTCAGATGGACAAGGACAAAAAGAAACTTTACAGAAGCCTAACTTCATACAAAAGAAAATACAATTCTCAGTAAAAACCTACTGAACAGTAAAGTGTGCAGAAAGATTTCYCGAGGAATGAACTCTGACTCCTGTTAGCATTCAAGTCAAACAGTGGGACTGCTCACATCACAAACTGAGTGCTCCCCAACACAGCACAATGTCCATGGTGTGCTAGGAAAGCACAGAACTGAGTGACAGCTCATTCAGGCACAGGACTGATGCCTGTTCTCTGCGAGTCTCTGTGTACCACTCCAGCAGCAAGCACACTTGCCCATGACTGCAGTCTTTGGGTTTTGTGCCCCAGAAAACACGGACAGCCGCGCTGTGCCACTCACCCACAAGGTGTAGGATCCGCGGTGGCTCCCTGGGAAGGTCAGCATGCTCTGGTCCGACACAGCCACGGATGCCAGGCCACTGCTCCGTGATGGTGGCCATTCCAGGTCGGCCTCAGCTTGCTCGGGTTTGCTCTTCTGCTTCTTTATGATCTGCAGGGACAGGAAAATGCTGCTCTGAGCCGTATGGAGAAGAGGAAGATGAACCCTGGCTCAAGGCAAGCTCCCCAGGAAAAACACCTGACTTTGCTCTTGCTCCAGCTCATGCAAGGAYTTCTCATCTGAAGCCCCTCAGCTTGGGAGCCCCTGAGCATCAATACAAGATGTAACAGTGCCTGTAGGAACACCAGSGTGAGTTACATAAACATAGAAACCTGTTGCTACAGTAACACTTCAGCAGCATCTGAGTGTCAAGTATTTTCTCAGACAAGACTTATTGCCAAGAAACATAAAATCCTAGGTATGAGGGGAATTTCAAAGGCTCCCAAGACATCCAGACACATTCTTGTGAAAACATTGAGGTCTAAGGTCTGTAGGCACTGTTTTTATTTTTGAAAATCTATACCATCTTAGAAGAGAGAGATCATGCAGCTATCTGCCTCCCTACACTGACAGATTATATCCTGCTACACTTCATTTCCACAACTCGAATAAAGAATATCTACAGAACATTATTCTATGGCATAAAAGATCTTGCTAGGCAGCTCCTTGACAAAAATGGTAGCAGTTCAAGCTTGGCTGAGATAGGCTCTGGACTATGAAAGACCTGATAAACAGAACTGATATTCTAACATCCCCATTAATAAAGAAGGCAGATTATTTTCCAGTGAGCTGCTGCTCTTCTGGCTTTCTTTGATGCCTTACAAACAATATGTTCCTCTCCTGGTTTGTAATCCACACACTGTTTAATGCCACAGCCACATCAGTGTCAACCACAGGCAGGGAGAAGAATGAGTTTTACATAAAAAGCCACAGAAGTCAGACACGCCAAGGGTTCTTTGATTTTTTTGGATGTCTCTCTCACAGCATCATTAACAGAATTTTGTGTCCATGATCGATGTTTTCTTTGAATACATGGCAGATGCAGGGTTCAGTAGAGGGTATGGTCAGAAATCACACTTATGCACACTGGCAGACTTTATGTCTTTTGGGAAGTCATGTATATGGCCAAGAGCCACACCTTTTGACATCAGAAAACTTTATGCCTGCGGGGAAGCGAAACACAGATGCACAATTCCATCAAGCAGTGGCCATCTCTTCCAAGAAAGGACATCAGAAATCTCAGAGAGTGGTACCTCTYAGCTCTGAGCATGCACAGCATCAGGGTGAAACACTGGACTTACCTCACTTATAAACTGATCTCTGTCAGACATAGCTGATGAAGCCTACACTGTCATAGTTCACTTATTTTGCTTTCTATGTTGGTGTCATCCTTTTTGCTGGTGGTTTTTTTTTTTTTTTTTTGAGTTTGAGCTCTAAAACACTATTAAACGAGTTAGAAAAAAAAAAGCACGCCATACCTTCTGCACAATGGTTGTGGCCAGCTCTTCTATGAGGTCCTCCTTGTGCTCCTGCAAGTAACAAGCTTCATTCTGCTTGTCCTGCATGAAAATGGATATCTGTATTTGCTAAAATCACATAAAAACAGCCTTCCCACAGAAATTGCATAGATTGGGAAATGGGTAACATGCCCTATTGGCAGTGTGGGAAGAAATTACAGGCATTAAAGTGCACGTCACCTTCTGAAATGCAATGTACATGTTGGTTACCAGTTCATAAAACCCTTGCCCAGCTCTTCAGGTACATCATGAGATARTCACTACTTCTTTGTGTTTTTCTTTATAGGTACTTGGGTTTGTACCACTACCCAAATGAAAAGAAACATGATTGTCCTATTCAAATTAGTACATTTTGTTGGAAAGTGTTACCAGGCTGTCACTGTAGGTCTCTGCCTTAGAAATAGCTTCTTCCACTGCTTCCTCTGCAACACGTAAGGCCACAGCAAGGGTATCCATCATGCTGTGTCCTAGATGAAGAATAAGATAAAACCACCATGTTCTTTATATACATACATTTTGCATAATGAGCTCCAAAATTCAGACTCATTCTGGATACATATTCAAATCTTAAATCATTCATGAAAAAGTTATTTCCTCAATCCGTAATTATGCACAGTAAAATAAAAAGCTTAAGACAGAGAAATTTGTCTCAATCTCTATGTTTCTTCTTAAATGTAAATCTTAAATGCAATAAAACACCGATTTTTTTACACTGCTTGAACTAAATTGTAGCAAAATAGTTCAGACGAAGTAATTGAAAAAAAATTCATAAAGTTCCTATAAGCAGGAACAGAAAAATATAAGAATGAAAAAATATATGAGCATAGAAAAAGAAATGGAAAARAAGTAACAAAAACTGAACATTAGAAAAATCACACTAGGATAGGCGTGTAGTAGGTGTAATGCTGAAGCAAGATCCCCCAGCATGGTACTCTTAGTGTCTTGCTGAATGATTCAGCCAAAATATTGCTGGATCCGTGGACAAGACTTACTAGCACTCTAAGYTACTTGTGCAATAATTCAAAGTGTAAGGACTGCTTTTTAATCAAGTAAGTTTTTAGCAGCATACCTTCTGTCTGTTGGTAGAATGTAGAGTCACTGCCACAAATGCTTCCTTCATTCTCAAAGCTTCCTTCATAYAAACTTCCTTCCGCTAAAAAGAAAGTCAGAATCATGTATTATTATATGAAGTAGCCATTAACAGCAGAGGCATTATTAGAATATTGGAATATTAGAATATTCACTCAAGACACACAGTGGCACTGCACACAGTGAGGGATATCTGGAAAATTCCTCCTAGCTGTTGCTGTTGGGTAAGTCATGACTGCAGCAGCTTTTGTACAAAACATGACTGCTTTTATGTCAAAGATCTCACATTCATTTTGAATGGAAAAAACTATTACTACAGCAAAAAAGGGAAGAAGAAGCTACGAGGCATAAAACTTACATGGTAGAAGTTAAGTGCAGGGACTTTGCCTTTCCTATGACATTTGGGGCTGAAATAGATTCCACATTTTAAAGGGCACTGCCATATAAATAAGGCAAAGCCCAGACACCTATASTAGTATTTATCTTCAAAGGGAAGAAAAGGTTTACCTAACAGTCACAGGGAGAGTAGAAGAAAGTTAGCAATGACATTTAGACTCAAAGGCCTTCCTTAGAAAGGTCTCACTGAGAGTGCACGTGCCACTGCAACTCATCATTGCATCKTTCACACTTCCATTCAAGCACCAATTCACTGAGACTAGGGCTTAAGTAAAGGYAATTCATCATATGAAAGTTCTGAARCCTTCAGTTTTTACTTTTACTTTTTACTTTTACTTGACACAATTTTTACTTCCATCGTCCCACTTCTGGCCCTAAATGAAACAGGATTTGCTCATTTTCATGCATATTCACTCTCAAGTGTTAAGGAATCTTCTCAAGAAATATGAATTTGATATCCCAAAAAAGGAAAAATACTAATAACTCACAATTTAGTAAATAGATYGCTTCTCCCTAGAAGCTTTTATATCAATTTTCATAATAAACACCTAAAATCTCCACTCAGGACTAGAGAGTCTAGTTGCCATCCTATATATTTTCAAAAAAGGACAAAGTAAGGACTGTAGAAAAATTACAGTTTCTGTACAAATTTGGAAATAATTAAAAGAGTAAATTATCCGGTCAAATAAATCCAGTGAAATGTCAAATATTCAGCTAGTTGTSTTTTATTTGCTGAATTTACCAGTATGACACCAAGTTCCACTTCTTCAACTCATTTTCTATCTCCAATCACTCTTATGAGGTGGGGCATTAGCACAGCATAGTCAGGGGACAATTGGGTCGTCCCTTAAAARGTTGAGGCCAATACTTTATCAGTATCTTTTACCTATTTACAAACACTGATACAATAATGTGGCAGTTTCAGATCSTTAAGCACGCAAAAGTCTAAGTGAGGAAATCTCAGTTTTGGTCAACTTGGATACTGARCACAGCTCATGTTAATCAAATTTTGCTTCAAACACCATAGAAATATGCCTACAGTAAAATCTTGAATGCAACATTATTCTGTCATTCACTGACTACTCAAAACTGTGATAAAATTTTGGGACACAAGCTAGAATACAAACTGCAATTTACTTTATAAACAGTTTGTCTGATCAGTGACATAATTAAGATTAAACATTGYTTCAATCTTAAACAGCTCTCTAGACACTTCATCCTCTCTCCACTGAGGTATTTCCCTGGCAAAAACTTGAATTAAAAAAATCTGTCTTGAAAAAATCTCAGAATTTCCATTGTTTTAGCTTGTCTGTTAAAGTAAAYAAGAATAAATCTCATAAGAAATCAGCACAGCTGTTCTTGCCTATTGTCTCAGGACAAGCTCCACTCTCGAGTCTATGCTTCTTGTACAAGTTCTTCAGGACCTTGGCACTTCCAAAACACTTGAAGCGGCTTTTGACATTATTATAGTACCAATCCAGAGACTGAGTCCTTAGGAGCCTAAAACAGAAAAATAAATGACATATTTGGAATGTTTCTACAACAAATAAATGTGGGGAAAAAAAAGAATCTTTAAACTTCAGATCACAAACTTATTAATTTCTGAWTAGTTTACTGTTTATACTTTGCAAGTGTCTGGTACAGTAAGGCAAGAAAAACCCAACAGGGTAAGTAATACGTAAATATCTTCTTCACATTACTCAGGGGGTTATTTGGTTTTGTTACTGTCAGACAAGGTGGCCTTCCCTTTCACATTACAATGCTCACACCACAACCTCTTGAAAGATACAAACAAGCMKTGGAACAGCACAGGAAGACTTMAAATCAGACTTTATTTACACAGGTTTACAGATAATGTAAGAACACAAGCCCATTAATGTGCCACAAAMCCCTTAATTTGCACAGAAATACATCACTGCTTTTATTTGGGGAAAACAACAGTGTAGACAAAGCCTAATCAGAGGACCTCAAAGCAGAATGAGCTGCAGTTTGGTTTCTCACTTTCCACAGGAAACATCACTGACAACAGTAATTCATGCTACCAGACTTGTCCCCGGAGCTCAGATCCCTCATAAAGCCACGAGACACTGGCAAGCTCTGGATTCCTTCCAGTGTGGCATGTGGCAACTTGCTTCACCTGTTCCTTCAGCAGTGCATGGAGAGAGCCTGTGCCACATTCCCAGACACCAACAGCMTCAGKTGACTGCAGGRTAAYRCAGCACAGAYCTGTACCTTTCCTACTTGTTAWAAACACATATTATAGTGTTGGCTTTCGCAAATATTAAGATGAGTGCTATGTGTACAATATTTCCTTTTTTGCATAAGCAGCTTAGTTATGCAGACACAGCGGTAAAATCATCACTGATGGGTTTGTTTTTCTTTTGTAACTCAGATATAGTTATAGAATACTTGTGGTTAAACTGAAATGTTATGGCTTGTGACTTAAACATTTCCATAAAGRATATTTTTCATATTRTAGCAAAACTATACAAAAGCTGCAAAGAAAGTCACCAAAAARCCCTGAATGAGGCCCTGGCAGCAGTGGTCCWTAAAGAGAAGAAGCAGCTCAGAGCTGGGGAAAAGGATGCATACATTCACAAAGAGATCAYGATGCTTAACACCTTTGGGGTGAGGAGGCCATCACCCCAGGACTATCAGCTGCCAGGCCAGCACAGACTCTGACAGTGAAAGGGTGGAGTGGAAGGAAAAGAGGCTTTGGGATGTGTCGTGAAAAGTCTCWAGTCAAGAGAGCTCGTGGAACATCCAAAGGAACCTCGCTGATGGGACCCCCCAACCTTCAGACAACCATATCTGCAATGGACAGGCCAGGGGTGTCCTGACCCATTAGGGGGTCCTGCTACGGACACTTCTCCATCAAAAAGGACCATCTGCTGAAATTATGGAACAGGGGCCACACGCATGCRACCCCARGGGCATAAACATCATSACTGCTCATGCTYYAAAAAGGCGGATCCATGTTTAACAGTTCCTGGRAAAGTCTGAATATGCATAAATGCCTATGAATAAGCATTAGGCTGATACATTACAAAATGTATTTAAAGGTATCTCCTGTCAATAGCAGGTGTGCCTCTGGCAGATTGCCAAGCACCCAGCATCATATCCTTTTGCTTTTATGTACCCTATTGTCACTTATTAAAACCTTTTAAATTTTAACAGGAGAGTGAACCTCRTTTTTCACACTACTGAGGATGGCACTCAGATTCCACCTGTAAGTTAAAGCTAATTTATTCTTAACAGCAGATTTGGGACAATGAAATCCTGATGTCAGTGTCYAGTGTCAATGTATGAATGCGTAAAGAAATGATGGTACCATCAGGAGCGCTGGACTCTCAGCATCTCCAGACTTGAACATATTTAGATGATTTAACTACATTTTTTTAAACCTGAGGCCACGCATGAAAATAAAATGACAGTTTCACTGTCACCTTTAAATCTTCCTTCAGGGACTCTGGACTTTTCTTTGTAAAGTGCAAGGCAAGTGACAATGCACAATTTTTGTTTTGTGCCTTGACAGACTAGCAGCGTAGTTCTTACTCAGCACCAAACCTTAGGAGACCCTCAGGAACAAACACACTGAGCCTGGGGTTTCAACTGTTTCCAGTCTGAATCCAGACATTTTCAGTTTCACTATACTGATAAAAAGGAACATCCACTTCATGAAAAGCAGAACAACATGATATAGTCCACTTGTCTGTCATCACTGGCAAGTGCTTAGTAGCAAACATTTAGCAGTGGGAAATTAAAAATAAAAATCAATGAAGCCTATCGTATTCTAACTGTGAACCCTTAGAGTTATATTAGCTGCTCTACAGAAGACAACTGAACAAAAAGCACATAATGGAAGAGAAGTCTAYTTTTTCTGCATTCTGTCTCAGCAAATAGATGCAGGAGAGATGTTTACAGATAATATAAGAATATTAGCCCTTTAATATCTATTTGCACAGTAATATCCCAAGCCTAACTATGGTTCCCAGGAGGATGATTAGTTCCAATATACACTACCCTACAGACATTACTAACCTGTGACAAGAACAAAAATAATTCTGTTTGGTTTATTTGTTTGGTTTGTTTTTTGGTGTTTCTTTTTCTAAACATTTTTAGATGTGGTGCCCAGAGCACAGGCAATGGGAAGGATGCTTAGGTCTGTCTGTGAAGTACAGGGTTTCTGAATTCCCATACTGCTGCCACGAAGAGATCTGTTATGATGCCTATCCAAGACCTGACCCACTGACCAGAGCTTGGCTGATAGCACAGTGATGAATCTGAACAGAGAAAAATTTCCCTCCCAAACCTGCAATTCTTTGGCATTTTGAGAACCTGCCTTCTTTGTGGGCAGGAAGCACTTGCTCTCATGTAAACCACATCAGAATACTACATCTTCTGCTTGCTGGATTTTATTCACTTTTGTCCACTGAGCTCCTAAAGGGTCTGACAGGGTCATTTCAGTCAACAGCACAGAGTCACAATCATTATGAAGGATAAAACCACATGATTGGGTTGGAACTGGCTTGGCAGGAGGTACTGTCCAGAAAAGATGCTCTTCTGCCCAGTGAATGCAGTCTTCTCCAATACAAAAAAGTATTGCARCACCATCACTGCGGGGGACTCACAGCACTGGGAGTCCTCAAATACATTGCTTTAGGGCTTTGGAGATCCCTACTAACTCCCTCAGCACATTTACCAAGTAACCTCAGCTGCACTAGCTCAAAATGCTAAACTTGTCATCTTGGAAGCCAAGTAGACCCAGTACTTAATATTCAGACGGAGTGACAAGATAAAAATAAAAGAAAGTCACCTATCTTTGTACACTCTGTGTGAGTTAAGATAGMCACTTATGAATGCTGACCTCGCAGCTCAGGAAAACAAAAGATGTGATTCATTGCARGCWTGCTTCCTCATCTTTTTCCCTGTGTCACCATGTTTTTCTGAGTTTGATCAATACTTTTTGTATAAAAGCAGAAAGCTAACAGCACTGGTTTCTTGATGAGGTGACAAAGCTTTGCAAACTAAGACAGTTTTTTTTTATTTGTAATGATAACATTTTCTGTAWGTGAACTTTGGAAGAGTCAAAAGGATAGAGATTATACATCTCAAAGCTACCGTGAAAGGAGATGCTTGCTTCTTTGTACTAGTTAATCTGGTGTAAACACAAGGATTTTTTTTTTGTTTTATTTGTTTTTAATTTCTTTGTTTCCACAGGATTAACACTTYGTGAGTAATCTAATCATCTCATGCTTCCCTCCTATGAGCTGGAGAGTTACCAACAACCCCAAATCTATGCCTAGGTCCTGAACATGTTTTATAACAGATTACAATGCCTCCTCTAAAGCTTTTCAGCCTCTTAACTTTCAAATAAGTCACAATGTCCCTGCTGATTCCTCCTGCAGAGAAAGGATTTGGAGAAGAGAGGACTCCTCTTATAGATACTAAAATAAAGGACTCACTCAAAAGAGAAATAAGAGCATTTTCACCTCATTTCAAAATCCTTTAATGTTGACCTATATTTTAAAGCTGTTTCCTGCAAAAGCAGTCCGTGAGTCCAGAATAATGAAAGATTGTGATGGTGCTAGCATTAAATTGTTGGAATGAAACACTTCCCTTATTAGCTTTAACAGAAAGTGTGCAAGTTCTCTCTGTGAAATAAGAGTTCACACTTAAAGGATATTAGTTGCCAGCATTTTAAAGAAGCAGAACTGGTTGAACCCATTTCTTGCTCTTTCTGTGCCACAAAGACTGCTATGTCTTTATTGCTAAATAGCTTTAAACACTAAGGATGTTATTTATGTTATATAATATTACCATGGATTTGAGTTGCAATTTGATGTGCTTTTGGCATAGGACAATACCATGATTTTAAAATTCTATCTTGCTAGAAGGTGTGAAAGAAAGGAAGATGCTTTTGATTTAACATTAAAACTTGAACAAGTATTATAAAACCCCTGTTCTTTTTTTAGTGCCACAATGTGTTTGTCTTAATCAAGCAGCACCACAAGAAGGGATAAGTCCAAGTGATTTTTAGTACACTTGCCACCTCAAGCACCCAAATAGTAAARTTCTAGCATTTTCTTCAGGGAAAAAAGTATACCAGCTGTGTTGGGGAGTGGAGACATGAACCATCTCTCCCCTTATTAGTGATGAGCAGAAGACAATCACGTGAAAGACATCGCTCACACAATAGTCAAAACACAGGAGATTSTCTAGAGACTGATTTACCACTTTTAATTCTGTTTTCTTCTAAAAAGTTGTGAGGTTTTACTAGGTTGAAAGGCAATATGGAGCTTCTGMAAGAAATCTTCTCTAAAAGGTAGTACCAACTTAATATTTATGATTTTTGTCTTTATTCATAATACAAGATGGACTATGAGGAAGTGTTTTGCAACAATAACACTTTTCCATTATTTATTTTTCCATTAACTTTGTGAGACATTTCTTCCACAAGACAAACTTACTTACTGGGCTGCAGTCTAATTTCTTTAGGT